AGAAAAGATACTCTCAGGAGATATTACTACGAAGTTTGTGAGATCGAATGATCAACTTGCAGATATTTTCACCAAGTCCCTCACTAGTCCTCGCATTGATTATATATGTAACAAGCTCGATACATATGATTTATATGCTCCGGCTTGAGGGGGAGTGTTAGAGATAGCTATGTAATTGTCCCACATTGGAATAAGAGTAATATCCCCTTTGTATAGAGTAGCTATAAATAGCACCTCTTGTATTGCATCACACACAATATATCAATATATCATATTTTCTCCCGTGCATTCTCACAAGTCCTATAGATTGTTATTTTTCGCAAAAATCAGGAGATATGGGAGGGAAAAGTGGTAATCCTCAAATTGATGCCAAAGCGATTTTGAGGGATAGTGCAGTTGCAATGTTTGCGCGGTGGATGTATGATGCAGGTTTTCTTTTTAATTATGTTAATTATACTGACACTTTTTTTGCTTTTATTGAGGCCGTAGGCCAATATGGTCCAGGAATGAAGCCTCTAACTTATCGAAGTTAGAGGTCCATATCTAAAAAAAGAAGTGGAAAAGACTAACAAAATCGTGGAGGAGCACAAAGTAGAATGGAACAAGTTTGGTTGTTCCATTATGATGGATAAGTGGACGGTAAGAAATGGAAAAATAATCATCAATATCTTGGTGAATTCTCCTAAGGGAAGCTTGTTTCTTGAGTCCATTGATGCAAGCCACTCTTCTACTGATTCAACCAAAATGTACTCTTTGTTCAAGAGTACAATAAACTCTATTGGAGCAGAAAATGTTGTTCAAGTTATCACGGACACCGGTGGTGAAAATGTTAAAGCTGGTGATTTGATGTCTGTAGAGTACCCGCATATTTATTGGACTCCGTGTGCAACACATTGCATTAGTTTGATCTTCGGTGACATTTTTAGGGAAAAACCCTTCAGTTCAGTCTTTAATCAGGCAATTAGAGTGCATTACTATATTGTTCAAAGGCCTTTTTTATTGAATATGATAAAGAGATTCACTAAACAAAGAAGCTTGGTGAAATCTGCAAAGACAAGATTTGCTACTGCTTTCTTGACTTTGCATAGGATGTATGAGCAAAAAAACAATTTGAAGAAGTTGTTTGTTTCAGATAAGTATACTAACAGTGCCTATGGAAGGGAAGCTCGAGGGAGAGAATCTGCAGATATTATGCTTTCTACTTCATTCTGGAATAATGTGGTTCATGCATTGAAGATTGGTGGTCTTTTAGTTAAAGTGCTTTGTTTGGTAGATGGGGAGCAAAGACCGCCAATGGGCTACTTTTACGAAGCAATGGATAGGGCAAAGAAGGCTATTCGAGACTCTTTTATTGATCCAAGAAAATATAAAAGAGTCTTTGAGATCATAGATAAAAGGTGGAGCAGTCAGATTCATCACCCTTTGCATGCAGCTGGACTTGTTTTGAACCCGGAACTGTTTTATGGCAATGAAGAATGGATTATAGGAGATGAAGAATTGTGGAATGGATACATTAAATGTATTGAGAAGTTGATACCTGAAGAGTCCATGCAAGATAAAATAACAGAGCAATTTAGTACTCATAGGAATGTTGAGCAACTTTTTAGAAAAAACATGGCTATTAGACAAAGAAAGATGAAGTCACCAGGTGAGCGAGTGCTTATATGTTGCTTTATAGTTAATAAGTTATTTCTTTATAAATATTATGTTTTGAATAATTGTTTTGGTGGAAGCAATATGGCCATTCCACTCCAGAATTACAAAAGTTTGCCATCAAGGTTTTAAGTCTAACGTGTAGCTCAGCCGGGTGTGAAAGGAATTGGAGCGTGTTTGAACATGTAAGAACTAAGAAGAAAGATTTAGTAGTATATTGAGATTATTAAATTATATCTCAATTGTCCTAATCTTACTAATTATTTATTATTTGCAGATTCATACCAAAAAGAGGAACAAACTAACCTTGAAGTGTCTCAATGATCTAGTTTTCATAAGTACAATAGAACATTGAGGCGTCGTTACAACGCTCACAATGTAATTGATCCAATTAGTTTGGACAACATCGATGATGCTAATGAAAGGCTAACTGGAGTCTCGGAAGATCATGTAGATGAAGATGTATTTGAGGAAACTTTTGATTTCACTTGGGGTGATGTTGCGGAGACGCGTGAAATTGGGGAGAGGATTTTTGGTTTGAGGGGGAGTACCTCAACTTCAAGCTCACAGAGGAAAGGAAAAGAAGCAGCTACCTTGTCCCTAGTTGATGAAGAAGAAGTTGAAGAAGATGACGAGCAATATAATAATAATAGTAGAATACAAGAATTTGACAATCTAGTAGAAGAATAGGATGCTCATTTTGTGCTTTAATTGATGCTACTCTTTACTTTTTACATTGAAGTATTGAACATTTGCTTACAGTTACATGTGTTGTCTATGCAATATTTATTTTAATATTTTTGTTTAAATTCCGCTTCACTTCAAAAATGCGAGCGCTTCGCTTCTCGCTTCTCTCTTTAAGCGTAAAGGGGGTTGTCGCTTTTCCTCGCTTCACGCTCTTCACAACACTGTGTTAGAGTTGCCAAAGAAGAATTGGTTCTTTAAGGGAAAGGGTATTTCAAATTTTAATATATGTGGCTTCAACATGTGGGATTCAATATGACTTTTTAGAAATGTTGGATGATTGTGAAAAATGATATTCTGACAACAAGTAGATTATTTTCATTGAAAAGGGTCATCAATTAAGAGGAGCTTCAATGCTACATTTATAGCTCTCATCCCCAAAAAGAGAGGAGCTCTGAACATAAAAGATTATAGGCCCATCAGTCTATTGGTGAATTGGGGAATGTATATAAGATCATAGCTAAAACTTTAACTGAAATATTAAAAAGGGGTTATGAATAAATTGGCGTCAGGCAATCGAAATGCCTTCATAATAGGAAGACAAATTGGAGATGCTTAACGGGTGGCAAATGAATGCCTTGATTATATTAGTTAGAAATGAAGAAGAAACGGGTGATATATAAGTTGGAGCTAGAGATTCTTGTGACCATGTTAATTGGTCTTTTCTTCTTGACATTATGAGGCAAATGAAGTTTGGTGAAAAATGCATCTAATGGATTAGAACTTGCATTTCTACCGTAAGATTTCAGTCTTAATAAATGGGAGTCCAGAAGGTTTTTTAAGTCCCAAAGGGGACTTAGACAGGGAGATTCATTGTCTCTTTTTGTTTGTTTGTTTTGTTCTAGTAATGGAAGTCTTAAGCAAAATGCTAAAGAAAGCTTCTAATAGTGGATGTATAAAGGGTTTTGGGATTGAAGATAATGGAAGAAACGTTTTGGAGGTCGGTCATATATAATATGCGGATGACACTCTGGTGCTCTATGAAGCTGATAAATGGCAATTCATATATGTGAGCATAATTTTGCTTGCTTTTGGGGAAATTTCTGGTTTAAAGATACATCTAAGAGTAGTGTGTTCTTTGTTAGTGCTGATGAGTGTATAGAAGAGGTTGCTGATATATTGGGTTGTAGTATTGGAAAGTTCCTTGCTACTTATCTGGGATGGCCTTTGGGAGCCAAAAGATGTGATGTTAGTATGTGGCTAGGAGTTGTTAATAAGCGTGAACGGAAATTATCAGCACAGAAGAAGCTATACCTATCAATTGGAGGAAGTTTAATTTTGGTTTACAGTGCATTGGATGGGATTCCAACTTATTTAATGTCTTTGGTTCCTATTCCATCAGAAGTGGAAAAAAAGATTAACAAATTGAGGAGGGATTTTATTTGTGAAGGAAATGCTGAGAACAGGAAGATTCATTTGGTAAATTGGGAAAAAATTACAAGATGTAAATAAGAAGGGGAAGGAAGGGATTAGGGGTTAGAGATCTAAAAGTGCATAATAAGAGTCTCTCATGCAAATAGTTGTGGAGATGGAATGATAATAGAGAAGCTATCTGGAAAAATGTTATACAAGTTAAGTATGGTAGAGAAGGTGTTTTGTGTCCAAATTAAATATCCTCATGGACAATGTTTTTGAGAGCGTGAAGCGTAGAAAAGTGACAAGGGCTTGATTCGGTTAAAGCGTGAAGCAAAGTGAAATTTTAGAAATACCAAAATAAATCTTAGAGCACATGAAAAAAAAAAGAGAGAAGAAGACAAATAGAATTTAGTTAAATTAACAAACTGAAAAAAAAGAAAAAATAGAATAATATAAAAATTCAATTTTAACTTAAACAAAGTGAAAAAAAAACAGCAGAGCATCTATTAAAATAACAGTTAGAGTACATGAAGAGAAACAGGAGAAGAAGATAAATAAATAAATAAATAAATTCAATAAAACTAAGAATTGAAACAAAAAGAAAAAGAAATAATTTAAGTTTCAATTAGTAAATTAACAAAGTGAATGATAAATGGACCTCAGGCCTAACTCAACCCCAAAAGCTTGCTTATGAAGTGAGGATTGCTCAAGACCATATAAGGAGATCAAGGACCTTAAATCCCACCGATGTGAGACAACTCAATACCCCCCTCACGCCCAGGCCTACAAACTGGAGAGTGGACAACATAAATGGGGGCCCAACGTCGTTAATTATTGGGATGAGCCTGACTCTAATACTATGATAAATGGACCTTAGGCCTAACTCAACCCCAAAAGCTAGCTTATTAGGTGAGGATTGTCCAAGACCATATAAGGAGACCAAGGACCTCAAATCCCACCGATGTAGGACAGCTCAACGGTGAAAAGAAAGACACAAAACTACACTAGGTTTTTTGTTGTTGTTGTTGAACAGAAAGACACAGCGACAGACACAACAGAGAAACAAAGTGATCATTATTTTTGATTTTGTGGACTTGATAGACTGTCTTTGTGTATCATCAAGTCCCCTTTGTAAACTTCTTGGTACCTTGTTGGTACATTTTCTATTGTTAAAACACCTTACCTTATCATAATAAAAAAACAAGTTAATATGGAACCTCATGTAATGTTATAACTGACAAAGTTTGACAATGATTTTGGACACTAGCTTAAGGTTAGCTATATTTCCATAGCTTTGAATGTTACAGTAGAGTATTTCATTTATGTACGTCAGATTCCAGCCCAATGCTTAGAAATGGTGAGACTGGAGATTGGATTGGAACATTTGAAGGACATAAAGGAGCAGTATGGAGTTGCTGCTTGGACACAAATGCATTGCGTGCTGCATCTGGNACATAAAGGAGCAGTATGGAGTTGCTGCTTGGACACAAATGCTTTGCGTGCTGCATCTGGCTCTGCTGACTTCTCTGCGTATGTAAATCTCTGTGGCACTTTCTATCTCACTTTAATTATCATGAACCCGTGTATGGCCCTCCCAAGGTGTTTTTGTAACTATCATTTTGGGGGG